CAGGCCGGGAGCTCGCGCGCACGCCGCCGGGTGATCGCAGGCAGCAAAGTACACACTTTTTACATGTTGTCTAGAGATGAGTTCTTTTACCAAACTTCAGCACTACTTAACATCCTGGCCAGGCCAGAGGGTAAAACTATCTTATTTTCCACTTACTGAATGATGGCATCTATTCTGACCCCTTTGGAATGAAAATTGTCAAGCCCCAAAATTAACTGTGGAGAGGTTAGAAATTGAGCAATGAAAACAACAAAATCTGTCCATGACATTATTGATTACAAAATCAATTTGTGATTCAATCTTCCGGCCCTGGTTTATTTACAATTTTGCAAGTTTGAAAGATGAAACGCTACAATGTAAACGTGCAGACGTTGCAGTGGGCACATCTAGGAATTGCCCTTGTCAGAAAAAACTGTTGGTTTCTTAGCCCTGCACTCTGGCTAAAAGTGAGCTATAGCCAGGTGTGTTTTGTGTGTTTCTGTAGTTCCAGCACTTTAAGAGGCCAAAGCAGGAGGATCACAAGTTTGAGCCCAACCCAGGAAACTTTGCAATTTAGCATTTCTGTTTCAGAAGAAGGGCAAAGGGAAGGAAAAGGTGGAGGAGAGGAGGGAGGCGGGGGAGGGAAAACGGAGAGGAGGAGGGAGGAAGAGGAGAAAAAGAGATGAGTGTTAGCATCTTCTGCCTCCAGGCCAGGCTGTCTTAAAACAGGGACTCTCCAAAGTTGGAGGGTGGGAGCAGTATGGAGGAAGAGGGGAAACAGCCAGAAATCTGACTTGGTAGCGTATTACCTTTCTTAGCATCATGTGCTGTAGCTTTTATTTGCACAGCATTTAATGGTTGGCATTAAGTTAATCTGATATCCTAGTCCTCTCAATCACTTTTGCCTTTCTTGGCTTGTGGAATATTAGTATTCTTAGTTTTATTATGCAAGCTCCCAGCGTCCTCAGGCCTGCATCACTGTAGAATTTCCTATGACTTAGTACAAGAGAAAAATAGGAAGAGAATGATGGGGAAACATTTAGAAACCACCAACAGCCATAGATTGATTCATTTATCCTGCACAACAACTCCAGGAAGTAGGAACTATTTTACTTGTTCAATGGATGAGCAAACTGAGGCTATTGTTGCACAGTCTAAGTAAAGTCAGATTTCGAATCCAGGTCTGTGTGATACCTAATCTCAAAGTTTTACTCTTTTGCTTTTTTGCTCTTTGTTTTTTGAGACAGGGTCTCACTATGTGATTCAGGCTGGCCTTGAACTCATGGCAATTCTCCCACCTCCTGAGCACCAATATTACAAGAGTGTGCCGCCATGCCTGGAGATTCCAGTTTTTGACATTCTGTTATATACTGTCTCCTGAAAAAGTGCTCATTGAACTCTCTTTTATTGAACTCTCCCCGAGTTATTCCAGATGATGAAACCTCACCGGCTTAAAGGTACAAGTTAGAAACCATGCTGTGCCTTTTTGTCTGTTGCCTCCACTTTTAACCTACTTCTTTGTGTAACATGTTCATTAGAATAACAGGCTTTCCTCTAAAATCCAGTTGTGTAACTCAACATTTCTAGAAGCTAAAGATATATATCACTGTATTTGACCTCATTTCATGAGTCAGAGTTCCAGGCTACACTTACTTTGGGGGAAATGTTTACAATCCAGAAAGAGCAATGTTGGTGAAAGCTGAAATAGAGCTTGAGATAGAATTCCTCTCCTAAAGCATCATCATTTTTTTATGGCTGGGCGACTATGGGAATGAACATTACCTTACAGTTCTGGTAGAGAGAATTATGGTAGTGTTAACCGTTACAGAAGCTCTGATAACATGATTACTAGTGAGGACAAAGTATCAAACAAACGGAGCAGAGTTTCGTGAAGTTCATCAGGAAAGCCTTCCTGGAAGAAGTGGGCTGAACTGGATACTGAAAAGGCACTGACAAAAATAAAAGGAAGACGTGTAAAGTCAAGATGAAGGGAATAGTACACACAAAGGCTTAGAGCTATATCTTTGATATTTGTTTGCCATATTTGACTGGATTGAAGAATAAGAACAGATTGCACAACAAGCATTTACTGAGTACATATTGTATATTGAAATTTTACTAGACCATAAAAATTTTCAAAAGAGAGCCTAAATATGTTCCCAAGCAGCCTTCAGGGAACTCCTCATCTTGTAGGGGGACCAAAACACACATAAACCCTCATGGTTCAATGGGTGTTTGTGATGCTTAATCTTGATTGTCAACTTGATTGGCACAGAGATGCTTAGGAGATTAGTAAAGCACACTTCTCGTTGAGAATGTGTGGGTCATGTGGCATGACCTTGGGAATATATTTGATCCCTGGCCCCCTGTTTTCCTGGTTGCCAGGAGGTAAGTAAATTTCTTCCACCCTGACGTTTAGCCTTGCAACTAGCTCACAGTGGATTTAAACTTTTGAAAACTTTTTGGTGTATGTGCTACTAAAGCAAGCACAACCTTTGAAAACTTGAGCCAAAATAAACCTTTTCTTCTTTAAATTATGCATTGTAAGGTATTTTGTCTGGACAGTAGAAAAGTGACAAATACAGAAAACCAATATGAAGAGTGGAGTTATTGTTATGACTACCTGTCCATGAGGTTCAGTAGCATTTGGAAATTGTTTTCCAGAGAAGTTTGGAGAATCAGGCTGGAGAAGGCCTAGAATGCTGTAAGCAGAGACTTATTTGCAATTCTGGTATGAGTTCAGAAGATAAGAATGCTGATAGAGATGCAGACAGTAAAGAATATATTTATGAGGTTTCAGATAGGAATGAGAATTCAGTCGCAAATTGGACTAGAGGACATTTGTATTATGTTCTAGTAAAGAATTTATCTATATTTTGTTCATGTCCTAAGACTTTGTGTGGGGCTACATTTAAAGATGGCAGACGGATTAGTTTGGTGAGGGAAACCCTAGGAAACTGTGGAAGTCAGAGACGTGGAACAGTTGCCTAGGGAAGATTCTGTCTGTGAATGGAGCCAAGCAAATACAGAGGCCACGTGGTCTGTAACCAGCAAAGCTGTAAAGGCTTTATAAGCTGTAAAGGCTGCCCAAGCCCTTTGGTGCTCACATCCTGCCACCATGTGTCCTGAATGCTAACATGGAGGTACGGGATTTAATGTTTTCCCTGATTGGTTTCAGTATTGCTTTGGCCCTATCCCTTTCTATTTCCCTATTTCTCCATGTTAGAATGAGAAGTTTTCCCTGTGCCACTAATATATTGGGAGCATGTAACTTGTTTGTCCTTTGATTGTATGTTTTTTTTTGTTTGTTTGGTTTTTACTTTTCAAATGTTCATTGCTAAGAAGTTGCCTTGAGCCTCAGGAGATCTTTGGATATGGTCACTCTGAAATATTGGAACTGTGGAAACTTTGGAGAAGGACTGAGTGTGTTTCTAATCATATACAAGATAGTTCTGTCATGTTAGGCAGAATTATAATCTTGCTTTTGTCTCTAGCTATTAAGTAAGGTTTAAGGAGATGTTTGGGGGTATCAAGTTGACAAGGGATGGACTTGTGATGTTAGCCTTTTTTTGCATAACAAAGTCTTTATTTTTACTTGTAAGTGGTTATCAATACAACAAATAATAAGTAACAAGTTCTTGAGTCCTATCATCTAGCAAAATTTTTTTGTTTTGTTTTGTTTTGCTTTGAGACAAGGTCTCACTGTGCAATCTAGGCAAGCCTGGATCTTACTATGTAGCCCAAGCTAACCTCAAATTCAAGATGCTCCTTCTTTAGCTTCCCAAGTAGTGGTATTATAGGCATATACCACCACACCCAGCTCATCTAGTAATTTTGTTTAAGATAAGATAAATGCAGCCCAAGCAACTATTCTAGTATTCGCTGTTCTAATCCTTCCCCAGAATATACTATTTTAAGGCTGGCTGCTGCACTATGGAAGTTACAAATAGCTATTTACTACTTTTTTCATAGATAAAAGCCCTGACCTTCAAGAAAGTGTAAGGGAAATATTATTTAATCCCTTCCTTTCTTTAAAGAACTGTTTTTTCTTTTTCTTACTAAATCTAACAATGAAAAAGTCAATACTGATATGCATGTTGATTGAGCTAATGTGTATACTTGAGGTATAGGGAAACAGACAACATACACTCATTAACTTTCTAAGAAATATGAGGTAAAAAGACAAAATCTTTGGAGGAAGTACTAAGTTTGTCCAAAGAAGCTAGATATGCTACTCTCCAAAAAGTGGAAGGAACTATTATACAGCATAATAAATAATTTAATGCATTTTATAAGAACAAAAATTGACTTTGGTAAAGCTTCATATTTCATGAGAGCATCTACAATGCTAATCCATAGAACAGGTGCTTCTTTCTTCTATCCATTGTTGTGGTAGTTTTCATGGATTTCTGGTCGGATGTCGCAGACAAAGGCCAAGCGGTTATCTAGGACTTCTTCCCTGTTCTGCCGGAAGCAAGTCTGGAGGATGGCCATCTGCTTCTGTGTCCCCTTCTCCGCTTCACTGCTGCAGCTGCCATGGGATCCTAAAGCCACAGTTTCCTTGGCCTTGAACTCTTTCTCCCTCTGCAGGCGGAACTGTTCAATCTCAGCCTGAGCTACTTTGGCCTGTTCCTGCCTCAGGTTCTTTTGCTTGCAGGCCTCCTGCACCTCCTCAGCTCACTTCTTGGCCTGCAGCAGCTGCTAGTCTCCCTGTGACTGGCTGGTCATAGCTGCTCTGTGATGTTAGTTTTGATTATTAATTTGGTTGGATCAAGAGCCACTTAATAGAGTATACTTCTGTGTCTGTGTGAGTCATAGGGTTGTGAACTTTGGGACTATAACTGGTCCCTTGAACCTTGTCTAGCTATTTTCCTGTCTCTTTGTTTCCTGGCCTTGATGAAATGAGAAATTTACC